ATTTTTTCGTTGAGTAATTTTTCTAGTTTATGGTTATGAATTTGTTTTTGAATAATAAATTGTCTTTCATAGGTTTTATTAACGGAATTACATATATGATTAAAGTCGTCAAAAGAGATTTTGTATCGTAAGTCTTGTGTTATGTCATGTATTTCTAATTATATTAATTATAATTATAACGTAATTGCTAGTCTCAACTACCAAAAAATCGATTGATCTGTTCTGCTCGGGATGAATATGAACAACTTGATCGTAAACATTATTCAGGAACTCACTGAGTATTCTTCTGATTAGTTCGAGGCTACACCACAACAAAATCAATGAGCAGCACCGGCTCCTCCAACGTAGAACAGGACACTATTAAGGATCTGCTCACGCAAAAACAGGCCTTGTTGATGGAGCTGAAGCACTATGAAAGCAACAGCAAGTACAACAGCAATGCGGCCAACGAAACTGAGAGTTATGAAGCAAGTGGAATTATTCCATCAAATACTCGGCTGCAGATTGTGGTCACTGCCAACGTTGGAGAAAACGATGTGAAGGTACCAGAATGTCCTCGTTTTAGCTCTGTTTTTGCCCACTTTTCTGAGGCGAGGAAGGTGGAACTCCGTTCTAGAACACATCAAAAAATCGCTGTAACAACCGGAAAAATTGGGGAAAAAGGGTAGAATGGAACTTGTTTCGTTTTGAGTGCGACATTCACTTAACCGACAAATCTCAGAATTTTGGGCAATGCAGCTGAAACTCTTGGAACTCTTAAGCTGAAGTTTCCCTTAAAGTCTGTAAAAATTTCAAGTTGCTACTGGCTTTCGTCTGAACGATGACAAATTTTAAAACAGAGAGAGCCAATAGGGGGAAATGTTTGATTTTGAGAGCGATTTTTACTAAACTGGCAAAACTCAGAACTTGGTGGGATTTTTGCGAAACTTTTGACATCTTTAGACCCAAGTGTCCTTTAAAGCGGGTAAAAATTTCAAGTTGCTACTTGTTTTAGTCTCAACGAGGCGAATTTTTAGAACAGAGAGCGAAGTTGGACAAAACGTTTCAGTTTCAGAGCGAATTCACTTAACCGACAAAACTAGCAGAATTTTGGAGGATGCTGGTGAAACTCTGGAACTTTTAGATTGAAGTGTCCTTTAAAGTATGTAAAAATTTCAAG